AAATCTTTTCGTCTATCTTCGTGAAAATAAAAATAACAAAAAATACATTTTTATTTTGTAAACTTCAATTTTCTTAAAAAATATAGATAGCTACACTAACTCCCTATAACAAGTTTTCACACAATTCATTATATATATATATAATTTGATTTTGAAAGCATATTTACTTGCAAAAAAAAAAAAAATCCAAACAATTAGGAAACTGAATCTAGAAAGAAAAATACACCCCAAATTCACCTAATTTTTTTTAAATATATAGATAATTTTTAACTTCCTTTTTTAAAAAGAAAAAATTTCAACTTGTTAAATATACTAATTTTTATAGATCAAATAAAAAATTAATTTAATTCCAAAATCAAATTCACATGCATTCTCCTTCATCTTTCCTTTCATCTATCATGTGGATCCACATGATAGATGAAAGGAAAGATGAAGGAGAATGCATGTGAATTTGATTTTGGAATTAAATTAATTTTTTATTTGTCCAATTTCATTGGTCGAGAATCAATAATAGAAATTTCAAGATTTACAACAAGATTTGGTATCCTACTTTGTTGGCTCATTTAGTGCACCAAATCAATAAAATCAACCTAATTGGTTAGATATTATCATGTATTATGTGTTGATCGTAAATTGTTACTATGAATTAATGTTTTTTTTTTAATTTGAGTATCATAATTATTTTTTGCTTTGAAATCAAATCGGTCGATTCTGTTGATTAAATTTTAAACACACATTACGGACATGTGATAGTAAAATGATAAAAAAATTCATAACTAAAATTGAATTACCAAACTTATTATTATTATTATTATTTTGCTCCATTCTTTTTGTTACATCCTCAATTCTCTCATCTCTTCGATCATCAAAATGCTTCTTTACAACAATTTAATTCAGAATACTCATCCATCATTGAATTACAAGAAATCAAAGTTCTCTTAGACATAAAACCAAACACTTCCCTACCATGTTCAATAAGCCCACAAACAACCTAGACATTTATGAAGCCATTTTGCACCCAAACATAAATCTCAAATATTTTAGCCTTACAACGAATAAGAACCAAAACTCATATATTGAGAAATATGCGGACGAAGAAAACAAAGAGTTATATGGTACAACCCCATTAGAAAAGCATAAATAGATCAATGGGTAAAGATTGAGGAGCGTAGTTTTGGGCTATCAAGTGGAGCTTTGGTGTTTTAGCTTGCATTTGCACCAAGAATGAATATCCCACCCAACCAAGACGTTATAAAGTAGAACGAGGAGAAGCTAGAAAAGGTGCTTCATATTTATGAGCGAGTCTTGAAGACAGTTGATTCTTGACTCGGAGATGAATGTACTTTTGCCGATCTTTCACACTTGCCTAATGGAGATTACTTGGTCAATGCTACCGATAAAGGACATCTTTTATGCCTTCGGGAAAAATGTGAATAAGTGGTTGAAATGAGTAAAAACGAGTTGAAATTGATTATCTTTTGCTTGCTTTCAAGTTTCGCAATGGTTCTATAATATGTGGGTTTGCTCGTGTTTTGTGTATGTTTCACGAAAAAAGGAAAGGGGTGTTACTAGTGGTGGAAGGAGACAGGGAGACAAAAATGAGAGGTTTGTTTGAAAATTTTACCCTATGTTTGGATAATTCCTCTTGGGAGGAAAGAAAAGAGAGGAAAGAAAGTGAGAGAAAAGAAAAGAGGGAGGAAAGAAAATCATTTTCCACTTGTTGTTTGGATAAGAGTGGAAAGAAAAGGAAAGAAAATACATTTTCTTTGTTTGGAAAAAGAAGGAAAGAAAATGTATGATTGTATATTTACTATAATACCCTTGTGATTATATTTATATATTTAAATACTTATAATAAATTTGTATGAATATTTTGATAATGAAAATAACACAAATGATGATAAAAAAAAATCTAGCATGTAGTATATATCCGAATGATAAGATAGATAATGAATCGTCTCCATAGCATAACCGATAACTCGTTTATTAATTAATTAATTCAATAGCCAATTTATATTAATTACCAACATAAAATTAATTTAAATATGTATAACATGTATTATTAGCTATGCATATAATAAGTTAGTTGCTTTTACTCATCATTTCTCCGTTTTTTTTTAGAATAAACAATTACTATTAAGCAATTAAAAAAAAGAATATATTTTAACATTGCGAACAATAATCGAAAGTCAATTGAATCACGGAAAATGAGACAAATCACAAATAATTTTTATTTATTCTTTTCTTTTTCATTTACTCCAAAAAGTGTTCCGGGGGATGTCTTGAGAGATATTTTGTATCTATTTTGGTGGGTTTTTTTGGGGGGTTTTTTTGGTGGTTTTGAATCTGGTATGGGGTTGTTTATGGAGCTTCTTTGGTGGTTCAAATAGCCTTTGCAAAGGGGTTGCTCTGTAACGGTTTTCGGGGCTATTGGTAACGGTTGTGGTCGAGTTTGGGGGCTTTTCGATAGGTGTTGGGTCTATTTTGGGAGTTGATTTTAGGCCTCATTTTTTATGGGTTTTGGGGTTTTTTTGGGTGTTTTTGAAGCTGGTTTGGGGGTGTTTGTGGAGCTTCTTTGGTGGTTCAAATGGCCTTTCCGAAGGGGTTGCTCTGTAATAGTTTTTGGGGGTCGTTGGTAACAGTTTCGTGGCTGAGTTTGAGGGCTTTTCGATAGGTGTTGGGTCCGTTTTGCGGGTTGGTTTTAGGCCTCTTTTTTTTTTTATGGGTTTTGGGGTTTTTTTAGGTGGTTTTGAAGCTGGTTTGAGGGTGTTTGTTGAGCTTCTTTGGTGGTTTAAATGGCCTTTCCAAAGGGGTTTCTCTGTAACGGTTTTCGGAGGTCGTTGGTAACGGCTTCGTGGTCGAGTTTGGGGGCTTTTCGATAGGTGTTGGGTCTGTTTTGGGGTTTGGTTTTAGGCCTCTTTTTTTATGGGTTTTGGGGTTTTTTTGGGTGGTTTTGAAGCTGGTTTAGGGGTATTTGTGGAGCTTCTTTGGTGGTTCAAATGGCCTTTCCAAAGGGGTTGCTCTGTAACGGTTTTGGGGGTCGTTGGTAACAGTTTCGGGGTTGAGTTTGGGGGCTTTTCGATAGGTGTTGAGTCTGTTTTGGGGGTTGGTTTTAGGCCTCGTTTTTTATGGGTTTTGGGGTTTTTTTGGGTGGTTTTGAAGCTGGTTTGGGGGTGTTCGTGGAGCTTCTTTGGTGGTTCAAATGGCCTTTCCAAAGGGGTTGTTCTGTAATGAGTTTTCGAGAGTTGTTTGTAACGGTTTCGTGGTCGAGTGTTAGGGCTTTTCGATAGGTGTTAGGTTTGTTTTGGGGGTTGGTTTGAGGCCTCGTTTTTAATGGGTTTAGGGGTTTTTTTGGTGGTTTTGAAGCTGGTTTAAGGGTGTTTGTCGAGCTTCTTTGGTGGTTCAAATGGCCTTTTCAAAGGGGTTGCTCCGTAACGGTTTTCGAGAACTCGTTGGTAACAATTTCGATTATCATTACGAATATCTATCCATTGCCATCCTTACGATTAACAATGTGTTCCGATTATCATTGTCACCTAAGTCATAAAGCACATAAAAAAATAAAATAAAATAAAATAAACTTAACTCCAATATAAACAAATAAAAATTAATTAACTCAACATAAAAATACTATAGTGTTACATTTTTTTTAAAAAAAAATTCTACTTAAAATAGATTCCACCTCTTTATAGTTGGTTGTCAAATTAACTTGCATGTTTATTTTTTTATATACATTTTTTTCTATTAGATAATATTATTCCATGATATTAAATTCAAAATTATTAAAAGAAAATGCTGAAAATATTAAATAATAGTTTGTATTAAAATTTTGTTGATTTGTTTGTCCGTATAACATTTGCTCATTTTTACTTTAGTTGTAAATTACGGTTGGTTAATAGTGATTCTAGTTTGATGTAAAATGAAATTCTATTGGGAAGCATAGATAAAGAGTTATATACAAGAGAAGACGTTAATTTGCTTATATCATGAAAATGTAGAATAAGATACTTGGTAGAGTAAGAATTACGCCAGTCTTATAATGCATTTTGTGAATGATCTAAGTACAACGACTCGACTCTTGAATGTTATTCCCACTCCACTTATTGTCAAGCAAATAGGCATCACACTTTTTCACTTTGGGTTTCTTTTTCATGAAAGAAAAGAAAAAAAAGTCATTTTTCTCTATTAGAGAAAAAATTGCAGAAGACTCAACGTGACAAACCCGACAAATCCACCCTATACACACGCAAAGAACTACACACGACCGCGCTCGCCCGAGTTTGAGAGTAGCGGAAATGCGTTCTCGAGGGAAAATGGAAGAAACTTGCGAGAGACAAGACATGGCAAGCCAAACAAATCTCTTCGAGCGAAGAAATGCATTGCCACCGAAACGGATGATAGTGATATGCCAATCGGCTATGAAGTTCCACATATGATGCGGAACAAAACCCGCACTTTTGAGATGGGAAGTGAACATTCCAATCACATCCATAACTTGTTAGCAAGGATATAGCGAGGATTCAACAAAAATGCTCCTAACTCAAAAGTGAAAATTATTCACATCCATACCGACCACGAAGGACCACTTATCATGTTAGATATTCTATCAATTTATGCAAGACGAGCTGATTAGCTTGATCGGATATGCAGATTTCTTACCCGACAAGTTTCGGCACCAACCGAATGTTTTACTCTCCGAAACAAACGATAGCATTAACAAGCAACCTAGAATTCATGCTATACCACAATGTAGAGTATAAAGGAAATCAAAGAAAGGAATCCACACAAGCGAAGAAGCCAGTAAAGTGGAAAATAATTCACATAGAATATATATTTACCACAGATCAATTAGGCAAATGGAACACCAAGGACTCGCGACTAGCAATAGCCCACTTAGGCACTAGCAGAGTGCATTAATAACATATAAAATCCACAATCTCATATCGAGTTATCGAGTATTATCAAAGATATAATTGCATGCTAACTCGGTCGAAGAGAGTATGTCTGTACAACTAATTGTTTCTCCGACTCAAGCACACGCGAATGGAAAGAAAGAGGTTCGGAATGTCCAAATAGAGAGCAACGGAGGCCAAAATATACTCATCATAAGAGAAGCGCTTAATCGAGTGGTCGGTGTCATAAACAATATATCCACAGAAAATCAAAGCACTAATTCCACCATAAACTGCAGATTGATGTTGAGCCAAATGGGAAGAACACCCGCATAATACGAGAACATCCATAACATCGGACCTATACACCGGGTGAAGAAATAATAGATTTGCGGGGCTCGGAAAATATATCCATGGCCGGATTACTTGACAAAAATGAGGCATCCGACTCGGATAAAACTAGTCAAGATAAGGATAATAAGGGCGAGTGAAGAGAATTGGTCCAAGGAAGCTAAAGTCCTTGCCCTTCTTAGAAGCCCGGAAAGTGTACGCGAGTTAGAGAGCAAACCACGAGTCGAGGTCGAATTAATGCCTCGAAGCACGATTTTACTCGAAAGCATACGAAAGCACGACAATATTCACACCATAATTATAAAAGCTGCACATAAAGTAGCCGACGAAGCAACGAATTATTAGATGTCCAAACAGGATAAGATAAAGATACCGACCTTCTATATTAGCACGACTTGCTCCAACCAAGAGGCTCGACGAAACCGTGAAGAGGCCAAGAATGATCGGATTCACGGGGTGTTTCTAGTGATACACATGCGAGGGCCACAATATCGCATTTTTTTACACTTATTATTTAGAATAAAAGCACAAAATTTCCAAGAAACATTCAAATTCACAATCCTCTTGCAAGTGATTGAATTAAGCCAACGATCTATTAAATCATTTCAAACATAGGCTTTAAAAAGAAACCTAGAGGCTCCGATTCAAGTTCCAATTTTAACCCCAAGCCCCAAAATTTCAGATTAAATCAAGAAAAAAATACGCATATAAAAAAAAACAAACAAAAATACGGATCAAGAAAACATAAACCCAATTTCAAGTTTGAATCTTTAACCCCCCCAAAAAAATCCTAAAACATGGAATTTAAAGCAAATAAATAAATCAAGGAAAAAGAAAGAAGCAAAAGGAAAGGAGAGATCTCGAATTGTGAGTACTTACAAATAAAGGGCAAAATTGATAGAAGCAAAACGAACCCAAAGCCGCCTCGAGGAGACCGGTCATGGGAGTATAAAGAACCGTAACGACGAGAGATGATCGTGGTGAGGACAAGCCGAGCAACCAAGATGCCATAAACTTTGCGAATCAAGCGCCATCGTAATTGGTTCTCTCCAAGACTCAAACACGGGTACAAAGTCTCTCCATTTCCCGCCTCCAAATCAATCTCCTTGCTCGCATCCTTGTTGCTAACGCTTGTGTAATCGTACATCTCTCGCTAAATTTATTTATTTATTATTTTTGTTCTCTCTCTCTCTCTCTTCTTTGCCTTCGTTATTCTTTCCTTGGTGCCTCGAGTGGGAACTACCATTGGAAAATACCACTCGACATGGTCGCGCCAACTCCACCATTGCCTCCACCACCCTCGGCACCTCGGTGGGTTTGCGGAGACGAGTTTCGTGGTCGTTTTGATAACGGATTCGGCGAGAGAGAACGAGTGGATTTGGAGAGGCAGAGGCGCGATGGCCGAGCAATAGCGAGGGAACGACGGGCAAGGGCGAAACATGAGTTTCCTTTCGTTTTGCAGAGAGAAGGAGAGAAGGAGTGGATTTGCGAAGTTCTATGATGGTCGTTGGTAAGCGAGAGCAAGAGAGTGCATGGAAGAGGAAGAGAAGCGATGGTCGCCAAGGGTGAAGCTGGAAGAACAATGAGCTAATGCGTTTCCTTCCGTTTTTCTCCCCATTTCCTCCCAATTTTGGGAGGAAAATGGGTCCCACCTCTTTTAGCTTTGTTTAATATTTTTTTTCTTTCCTCGGCTTTCTTCACGCAAGCCAAACGGAGGAAACCTTTTCTTTCCTCCCTATTTTCTTTCCTCTCCCCCACTTTCTACCCTATCCAAACGAGATGGTTAATTAAAGGGTGAGAGTTATTTTGTAATTTTATAAGATCATATTGGTTGGAAATAAAAATAATATCGACAAAGGATCCATGTGTTTTTTTATTTATTAGAATATGTCGGCATCATGCGTGAAAAACGTACTCGAAATTTGGTTAACCAGATTAATGGATTTGATTAGAAACTAAAAAATAATTATGATACTCAAATTGAAAAAATTTTAATTTATGATACTATTCTAGGATTAAAGCATTGTACGAGATACCATCGAATCAATTACCATAAAATTAACCCGACTTATTTAACATGTTGACTGCTTTGTTCTTCTTCTTTATTTTTCCAAATAAATTATATTTAAGAAGGATTTGATAAAATCTATATATTTCAAGAAAGTAAAATGAAATTTACTCAACCAATATTCTAATGATATGTCTGTATCGGTAGTATCTTATAAAAATATCAATATAAATAGTAAAAAAAAAAGCAAAATAAAATGAAACATTAACCTATTTTGGGATGTATTATCTAGTTATTAAAAAAAAAAAAAAGGCTTAAACCAATTAATGATGTCAAATTTCATATAGGATTTTGCTATGTTTCCATATATTTAGAGATTTCTTTATATACATTCAGTATGTATTAATGATGTATTAGCTTGGTCACTTCTTTTAAGTTTTCTAGGGTGCTGACAAAAATTAACAAGAACAAGCAGCAACAGCGTCATCCTTTTGTTTGTAAGATATTGATATGCTTGAATTTTAATGCATGTCCTACTGCTAAGCTTAGTTGGCGTTTGGTGGGGGATTATAATTACAAGAATAATAACACTACAAAAGATGATAAATCACACAAAAGCTTCATGGCGAAACGATGCAATGTTTACTTTGTTTCACATTTAAGCAACATGGATTAGATCCATGTATCACCTACCATCTTTTCATTTGTTTTTTCAGCTTACAGTAATTTTTTTCCTAATTTTTGAAAAAAGAAATACCCTTAATTTGCATCTTCAATCCACAAGCTATGGTGGTGAGTTGACAATTTGGTTTGGACAGTAGCGTGGAACTGGAAATTTCGGTGCCGCAAACTTACTCATATGCATTGGCCTGAGTGCCTTGTTTAATTTTTGGGAACGATTCATCGTTCTTTTTATGTGTGTCTATATATATATAAAATAACGTGGACCCCAGCTTAACAACACGGGTCCAATTAAAAATAGACATGAATTTTTATATTAATCCCAAATCTAAAAATACTGTTTTGAGGTTTGGGATTGCGTTAGAAGACTTTTTTTTTTTTTTTTTTTAGCATGAAAATTTACTTTTAAAAGTGCGTGAGTTATGAGAGACTTCCTAGCTTGACCGATGTTAGGAATACGCATTATTCGATTAAAATAAAAAAATCGAATCGAATTAAATTAAATTATCAACTTCGATTCGATTTTATATAATTTTTTCTAAAAAAATCAAAACTAAAAGTTAAAATTATTTTGATTTGGTTCAGTTTTTTTTTAAAACACACACAACCAAGCTCTTTTTTTAAAAAATAAAAATAAAATAGGCACCTCTAGATTTAACCAAAAAAACAATAGCTTTAATAATTTTTTTAATTAAAATAAAAATATTTTCTATTAATTATTTATTGAAATAATAAAATAATTGATTATATTATATTGACTCACAAATAAATATTGAAGTCATAAAAATTACATTAATAAATATTGAAATAATAAAATAATTGATTATAAAAGGATTTGATTCAATTATATAATTTTTCTCATTTGGTATTTCAACTCTCAATCTTTTTTTAATAAAGTTGGATTAAAGAAGTAGAAAAAGGTGGCATAAATCCAAATTCATTCACCCAATCCCATTATTTAGTGGGTGGGCAAGCGATATAATTAAGCAGACAACTCTGTGGCTTCTCAATAAAAACAAGACTCAAATCAAACTTCTCCACTTTTAATATCCAACTAGTAGATGGCCCCATGATAATTAATGTTGAATTATTTATGATTTAGTATCCATTTATTGTCATAAAAAAAATCTCATTTACCACATGTTTCTCACACTTTGGTCTTCTAACTTGAATTAACTTATATCTTTGTAAATTGTAATACAAATAAGTGATTCTCTTTGAAAAAGAAATAAAAAAAATCAATTATTATGGAAAACGGTACTTAATTACTATGCAAGTTTGATATATTTTTAAAAGCAATTAATTCTGTTTTTAGAAAAAAAATGCAAAAAAACCATGTTTTAATCGAAAACCAAACAAAAAATTTTGGTTTTTTAATCAAAAATTTGAATCTTAATTCGGTTCAGTTTTGGTTTTTGTTTTAGTCAATTTGGTTAATCAAAAGTAGGAAACAAATTGAAATCAAATTGAAAAATCGAATGATCACTCCTACCCATGAGGACAAGAAACATCGTGCATGGTTTTAAAACTTCAACATTTTTTTTTTTTTGTAAGTTTAAGCTTAATTTCATTACTTTCTAGGCGAAAAAGAAAAAAAAATGGAATTTAGTCCTTTGGGTAGAAGAAAAGAAAAATAATATTGGCCCAAAGTTGATAAATACCAAGGCCCAATTATGACCTGACATGAAAATTGGACAACGGATATTAATTCCAGTATGAAAACGCACTACTTTGAGAATTCGGCTTCGGTGATTGTTTTTTATTATTTTTTTCCTTTCCTGTTAAAAAACAATTGTAAATTCAAAATATTTCTCTAATTTTTTTTTTAAAAAAAATTTGCATGAAAAATAAAGTAAAAATATCTATCCATATTAATTACCTGTATTATCTAATCACAAGGACAGTGGTTATCATTGCATATGCTTTGCTTAAAAGGTTATCTAGCATTTTAATAGTTTCAATTTCTCAATTGTTTATGTAACACAAGAGTGTTATCTTTTATTTTATAACCAAAATCTTCGAAGGTTTCCTACAAATTAAAAGAATATTATCGAGCAATTTTCTGAAAACCGAACTATCCTTGCTGCATCCCAAAGCTGGAACAAAGCCAACTTTAGTAGAAAGAAATAATAAACAACCCGTTTTTCAAGCCTAGCCGGAGGTAGATACGTAAATAGCATGGTGGTGATAAAATTGATATGGAATCAAATGACTAGGAATGAGAATACCCTTCCATGTCAATTGAACTCCAATATCCCTTTATATTGCCATCATGGGCCTCCAAATATAATTCCTCGCATCATATATTTCTATAGATTCTATAACTTTTTAACGGTTCCTCAATTCGTATATTTGAGTGAATCACATGTCCATTTTGTTCTACTAAATGCTGCACGATTGGCTAAACTTACAGAGTCTTTTTGTTTATTTTATTTGTTTATGTAAGTGGGCAACAACCCATTCAGTGGCAAATAAAATCCATGTGAAATGGCTCACAGCTGTTGAAGACAACTAGATTTGTACTCGCGCTACGCTGTGGGATGGATAATATGTTTTTTTCGAAAGATTTGATGCATTGTGTTAGTTGAATTTGTTTGCATGGATGAATTGATTTGGCAATTAATTATTATTTTGTTTTGGTGTCGGCACAGCTTGTGAGTTTTTTTTTATGCGTAATAAAATGTTTATATGATGGTGGGACATAAACATCAAGTTTGTTGGGTAAAATTGCATGTATTAAAAGATAAATTGTTAGGCAATTGTGTGAAATATTGAAATGAGAATATATTTATTTTGCCTTAGTGAAGGCTGTTTGTTAGCCATTGGCTGGTGCTAATTTTGCACATACATTGTGTTCAGTTTTTGGGAAAGCTAAGCATGCTGGATACTCATTATAGCGATGTTGCCATCGGTATTTAAGTGCTTGTAAACAATATGTTTTGTCCAAAAGCAATACAATAACATACTTTAAGTATTTATTGAAAGATGCTACAGGTGCATTAGCTATCAACACAAAAGCATGACCCCAATTTATGTTTATGTGATTCTGCATTAGCTATATTACAATGATTGTTTAAGGACTTGAAGGTTCCAAAGCGGACTTGAAAAATATGATATTTCATCAACTTCTCAGCTATGGGTGGTGGCAGCTTGTAAGGATCAGCAAATTTTTTTTCAACAACATAGTGAAAAAATACAATCTAGTTTGAACCTGTGTTTAGCATGGCGAATACCAGCAATAGCAACAACATAAGATAATGAGAGATGCTAGAAAATTAGATATACCAAAAGGCTAAAGCGGAATAATGAAAAAATGTGGCAGTGTTGTAAAAAAAAGAGTAAAAATGATTACTATAAAATAGGCAGGCATGATTGCTGAAACAGATTAGTAAATCAGTGGTTCATGCTGCTAAGCTGTCGATCATGTTATAGGTTGAATTACTAAAATGCAATATTCATGTCTCCTTCTTGCCTTTTTATGTTTGTGCATACCTGTGTGTGAGGAATAAGAACTTGAGAAATGGGCAGAGCTTGTAATAATATAGGAACTAGGTAATAGCCAGTAGGCACCATATGCTTGGGTTGTTCTATCCAAACAGAAAGAACGATAACATTTTAATTATCCAACGATTTTGTTCATGGCTTTACTGATCAAGAAGTGATATGCAATCAATTTTTTTTCCATCAATATACCCAATCAATCGAAGTATGGATTTTTTTAATAATAAAAACATTACATCACTTAAAAAAGATTCATGAGTTAGCTTAATTATATATATAAATAGAGATGATGATCATCCATACAACACCTAATTTAAGCAAATTTTAAAGCTTGATATTAGTTGAGTCATCAATTTAATATTTACAAAATGCAGCATCCCAATTTACCAACTGTGGCTTATGTGGTATATTATATGAGTAGTTGTTTTTTAAAATCAATTATCAAAGAAATGATGACATAGTAGAAGAAGCCATACCATGGAACTGGAGTTTGGTTGATGAAATCATGTGTTTGGGCAACCCAGGCGGGTGCCTTCTTCGTGTAGCCTTTTACTACATCCAAGACAGCTTTTATACCACTAGACCCAACCAAGATCAAAGTCAGTGATGGAGGCTCGACATGTGAACTTGTGGCCCGAAAATAGTTTTCCAAAGTTTAAAAAATGATAAATAGGTAGAAAACATTGTTTTGCACAAAATGCAATAACAACTAATGAAAATGAAGAATATTCCATTGCTTGTTATGGAAATGTAAGCAACACATGTAGATGATCATAAGGCTTTGATAAGGTTTTTATTTTTTTTGGTTCGATGATTAAGCAACATGTTTTCAGTATATGGCCATGCGAATAAATCCAATGTTGTAGAGATATCATCACTTAGTACATACACCATCTATCTAAGCAAACTATTTACAGAACCGAAATTTGTTTGGTATATTGCTTATAATGTGCATGTTATGTGTAAACACAAAATAATGGAGAAGGAGACAGCTTACAGGAAGAAATGAGTTTAAAATTTTCAATGTCATAGTTTGCTATGCAAATAAAACTGAATAGTTGATGGGGAGAGTTGTGACCTGATGATCTAAGGATTGATGCAAAACGGCTCTTTTATAGTTTTTCGATTGCTGATTTTTTGTTCTTCACTGCTGCCTCATATTCCAACTTGTAAAGGCAAGTGCTCAAAATTCGATGGAATAGTTACAAAGCTGGAACAAAGGAAACCAAAAGATGTCAACGAAGGAAAAAAAGGTGGAGATGTTTGGAAAATATGTTATAAGAGAAAGTAACTGACTAATGATTATATGAAACAAGCTCAAGAATATCAGGATTCAGATATCATACTGATGCAACTGTGCTTTTGAGGATTGGTTTTCCTGAAAGAAAATACATATAGATAAGGCAAAACAATTTGTGGGACAAAAGTATTTCCCAAATAAAAACAATGATTGAAAATTTTTATTTTTACCTAGGAATTCATTTGCTCTAAACCCTGCAAACACAACCATTACAGGTGGCTGAAGATTATGAATAGAATCTTCATTGAAGTGTTTCGCAACACCTCCCCAAAGGGTGATTCGCAGGTCTTTGTTCCTGAACAAATGTTGGAGTAATAATTTAAAACATATTGAATCTGCCAACATCAGTAATAAAAGCATGGTGCGTTAAAATATACCTTATTGAAAAGATGAACAGAGAAGAATTTGTTGTAATTAATTCTCATTGATGTCCGAATGAAAAAATATATACAGCTCGCTAACTTTGTCTACACGCCTATTCCTTCCTACAAATCAGCTACATCTATGAATGTTAACTAGAATCAAGGAATACATAAGGAAAACAAATATTTACTAATAATACAGAGAATATGATAGATTTGACTTTCTTTTCCAACACTCCCCCTCGAGTTAGAGAGTGAATATCTTGCACTCCCAACTTGTGAACCATAGGCATGAAAACCTCATTACCCAAAGCTTTAGTCAAGACGTTGACTAGTTGATTTGTAGAACTCACATGTTTTATCACGATAGAACCATCTTGAATTTTATCTCTTATATAATGACAATCTATCTTTATGTGTCTTGTACGATCATAAAAACTTTGTTGTTATGTGTAATGCAACCTTGTTGTCACAATACATCAATGCGGACTCTTGATGTAAAACACCCAAGTCTTTGAGTAAGTAACGAAGCCATGTCAATTCACAACGAGCTCCTGTCATTGCATGATACTTTGCTTTAGTCGAAGAAAGGGAGATTGTTTTCTCGACGTTTCGACTTCCATGTAATCAAGAAGGGGCCTAAGAATACACGAGTACCTCGTAGTAGATCTTTTTGTAAGTGGGCATCCTACCCAATCCGAGTCACGAGTATACTTACGGTCGAAGGTCACCGGTGGAGGAGAAGAAGAGCCCTTGACCGGACGCAAACTTCAAAAAGCACACAACTCGTAGAGCAATATCCTAATGATCCTTTCGAGGTTGGTGCATAAACTCGCTCAATATATGGACGGAATAGGTGATATCCGGCTTTGAAATTGTGAGATATATTAATCTTCCAACCAATCGCCTATATCGTCCCGGATAGACATGGTAACGATTCAATTCGAATTGTAAACCAAATCGAAATCGAACCGTTAAAAAACCAAACCGAAACCGTTAAAATCGTAACCTTGATAAAACCGGATCGTAATCGACTACCTACGGGTTGGTTATGATTTAAGGTATCATGGAACTAGAACCGATGGTTAATCGTAGAACCGATGGTTCCACATCTTTCCTAATAAATTTGAGTTGGGTCGAAAAAAATGAAAAACTTTAAATAAAAAAACCAATTTTATATGGGCTGGACGAGTAGCTATTGGATCGAAAAATGAAAAAAAATTAAGCCTAATAATTTTTAATTTTTAGGCTTAATATATTAATAAATACATATAATATAATAACATATTATTATATATGTGTGTGTGTGTGTGACAAACGGTCACAAATGTGATCGTTTTTTTCTTCTATAAATACACTCTCAATTTTTTTATTCTCCTCACAACTTAATCTCTTATTCGCTCTCAATCTCTTAAACTCTTAAGTCTAGAATTCTCAATGTCGTTCTATAATATTTTTTATACTCCAAATACTTTTTAAATTTTTTACATTTCTATTGTTTTATACTATAAAAAATGACAAGTTCAAGTTCACATATGCCATCACAACAAAGTAATACCGCCAATCAAAATCGAGCGGGGAGCAACAACAACAATCAAATTTTACACCTAGATCATCCGACATAGAAGGTTTATTTCTTTATTTATTTCTTTTTTCTCTTTGATTTATTGTGCGAAATACATTAAAATGTAAAAAATATTATAATATTTATACCTCATGCAAAAAAGAAGTTTTTTCATTTCAATGTTAATGTTTGATTTATACTTGAGAAAAAATATTCAATTTTTTTTATTTTTTCATTTAATAAAAAAAACCATTGAATCATCGATTCCAAACGGTTTGAAACCTGTCGGTTTCATGGTTTCAAATCGAAACCGTAACCATCCATAGAAAGTTTGATTCGAGTTCCACCTTTTAGTGGAACCTTAACCGACTCGGTTCCTAAATCGAAACTAACGGTTCGAGAACCGTTACCATGTCTAGTCTTGGATCTTTAAGTAGCTCACTCTTATCGGACAATCTTAAACCACGCTCTATGGGAGTATCAATGGGAGCCGCCCCTAATAACCCCGCATCCTTAATGATTTCCAAGGCATACTTTCTTTGAGAAATAAAGATGTCATTCTTAGAAGTAGAAATCTCAATACCAAGGAAATATTTCAAGCCACCAAGATCTTTAAGGCAAAATTTATTATGTAAGAACTTCTTGACAACGGATATACTCTCGGGATCATTGCCGGTAATTAAAATACCATCAATATATATCAAAAGAGCAATAAAGGACTTGCCTTGCTTTCCGATGAACAAAGAGTAGTCGGCTTTTGATTGTACATAACTAGTCGTATGAATGGCCTCGGAGAATTTAGCAAACCATTGATGAGATGCTTGTTTCAACCCATATAAGGACTTATAAAGGTGACAAACCAAGTTTTCCTCCCCCGTCGTCGAAGACCGGTGGCGGAGACATATAGATTTCTTCATAGAGATCACCATGAAGAAAAGCGTTATTAACATCGAGTTGATGAAGGGACCAGCCGCAAGCAACGAGCTAAAGCCAATAAACAATGTACAAAAGTGATCTTAGTCGTTGGAGAAAAAGTATCCCGATAATCAACTCCTTCCAATTGAGTGAAGCCTTTGACCATAAGGCGCTCTTTGTAGCGCTCAATCGATCCATCGGACTTATGCTTGATCTTGTAAACCCAACGATAACCAATGAAAGTCTTACCAATCGAAAGAGGAGTGAGAAACCAAGTGTCATTTGCTTGGAGAGCCCGTAATTCGGAACATATGGCCTCTTGCCATCGAGGATGAGCAGCCGCTTTCGAATAAGACCTAGGTTCCGTGACACTATTGAGTTGAGCAACAAATGATTGATATGCGGGGGTATATCTATGATATGAGACATAATGAGCAAGTGGATAACGTGTACCTTTTGTCGGACTTGGAAATTCGAAAGTCGATTGGTTGGAGTAAACATTGAAGCGGACATAATCGTTGAGTTTGACCGATGGAGCGATCCGACTGCTGGAACGATGAAGAAGTTCGGGTGATGGAGTGGGTAGATCGGGTGAGAAAATGGATGGTTCGGATGAGTGAAGAGAGTGGTCGGGGAGCAAGGGAAGAGAGTGGTGAAGAGAAGGGTCCGTTGTGACGAGACGGAGGGGAACGATGGAAGAAGAGGGTCGTGGGGTATCCGGTGATGGCGTTGGAGTTTTCGAGCGGCGTACATAGGTGCGAAGGATGGCTGGGCCGGAAGAAGGTGGTGAGGTTGGAGAAGAGGAAGGTGATGACAAATCGATGTCTTAGTTTTGAGGAGAAGGAGAAGGTGTCGGTGAAATCGGAGGGATAAAAGAAGATGCAGTTGTTTGAGGGTCAAAGTTAAGGTCCACGAGAGAAGATGAGTTATGAGCCAATAAGAGAGGCGGGTTGAAATTATAGACACTGCAGAGAAATGGTGAAGTTAGGCTGAACAGAGGCATAAGGAAAAATATGCTCATGGAATTTTACATCTCGACTAGTAAATATTCTTTTAGTTGATAAAGCAAATAATTTGTAGCCCTTTTGATCGATGGGATAACCAATGAAAAGGAAAGGTATGGCACGATGGTTAAATTTATGTGAAGTGTGAACATTAGTAGCATAAGTTAAACACCCAAATACTCGGAGATGAGAAAAGGAAGGTTGTTTTGAATAAAGAAGCTCGAATAGAGTTTTGAAAGAAAGTACTAATGAAGGCAACCGATTAATGATGTGTCCTGCAAGTAAAAGCACATTTGCCCCAAAATTGGGAAAGGAGTTGAGCTTGAAATTTCAAAGCACGAGGTACTTGTAAGATGTGATGATGTTTACGTTCCACAATCCCATTTTATTGAGGTGTGTAAACATAAGAATGTTGAAAGATGACACCATTGTCTTGAAAAAAGGACGAAGGGATAGAAATTCCCTATCATTGTCACTTCGAAAGGTTTTAATGTGGGATTCAAATTGAGTGAAAGCATAACCGAAGAAGCATTTCAAAAGTGATTGTGCTTCATCTTTATGACGCATTAAAAATATCCATGTAAAACGTGTATAATCATCAACAATGGTAAGAAAAGAATGACCACCGTAAAGAGAAGGATGTCGATAACGACCCCAAATATCACAATGTATAATATCAAACGGTTTTATAGAGGAAATAGTACTTGTACCGAAAGGTAAACGACTCTGTTTAGCCAAAGGACATATAGGGCAAGCATTATTTGACTCAACGGAAAGATTTAAATAGTTGTTAGCAATGAAACTTAAGCGAGAAGGTGATACATGGCCTAAACGACTATGCTATAAGTCGATGGATGAAGTGGTAAGGTTACAAGTCTGGTCGGTTTGTGGATGAGGAAGAGTTAGTCAAAGATTGCTCCGTTGTCGGTGCCACCAAATAGTACGATACTGTTATGTTGTTTACCCAAACCAATCGTCCTCTTCGTAGCTAGATCCTACGAAATACACCAATAAGGAAAAAAGGTCATTGAACATCTTAGACCTTTCGTGAAACGACTAACCGACATCAAATCAACTTTGAATGTGGGCACGGATAACACATCATACGGATAATATATCGAATTCGGAGGCAAAGATCCTTTTGCAACAATATTTGTCTTTTCTCCACTAGGTAATAATACGAGTGGTCGCGAGCAATGTTTGTCTTTATGCAACAATTGAGATGATGAAGTAATATGATCTATCGCCCCGTTATCAATAATCCAATTGTAGGGAGCGACTTTAGACAAACCCGACTTTATTATCGCATTTGCTTTGGAACTAGGGCCTTCATCTTGATTATTAAGAAGTGACAAAAGTTTCTTAAGTTGGGCTTCGATAGTGAAATTGCATGCCTTCCTTCATTGTTGTGTGACACCTCGGATACTTGATTAGCGACGAGAAAACCCTTTATGCCGATTTGGGCTTGAATTCATTCTTGCCTTGGGATGGTCTAGTGGATAGCCATGTAATTGATAACATGTTTGGACCCAATGGCCCATATCTCCACGAGTAGGTGCACCGAGGTCGTTGCCTTCCCGATTTAGAGTGACGTTTTTCTTGATCAAAGCGGCATCCTTCATGTGAAACAAATGAGTGATCGACTTGGAAATTTCTAGATCCATAAGAGCGATCCGATCGCTTGAACCTTCCTTCTCCAGCTGAAGCCGAGTTAGGATTGTTGTTCCTGCTATGCACGACCATAGCGGCGCTTAAGTTTTCTTCGAGCGGTGGTATGCGATGCACCGAGCATCCTTTGCTTCTTCTCTTGACAAACGAAGTGTAAGCTTGTCGGACGTAAGGTAAAAGATTCATAAGGAGAATTTACCCACGGATAACACCTGTAGGATTCATTCAAACCCATTAAGAACTGCATTAATTTCTATTGATCTTGTTGTGTTCCATAGGTTGCATCCGAATAGGAAGCCAATTCATCCCGAAACCCTCGAGTGTTGTGTAGTAGGATGAAACTCGAGTTGTTCATGGCGGTGTAGTGCAATCTCTCGTTGGATCTCAAAGATACGAGGTGCATTACTTTGAGAGAAACGTTCATGAAGGTCTTCCCAAACCTCATGAGCGAGAAGAATAATAGATGACACTTCGGCAATGTCCGGGCTAAGAGTGTTGACAATCCAAGAGAGAACCATATCATTACAACGTGACCAAATTGCATACTTGAAGGAATCCGATTCCTCCGAAGGAGCTTTTAATTGTGCCATTGACAAAGCCTAGCTTGTTCTTGGAGTTTAAGGCTAGGATCATGGCTCTACGCCGAGCCGAGTAGTTGTCTCCATTTAGGATTTTAGAAATTAAGACCAAACTAGGATGCTGCGAGTGATGAGTGAACTAGGGATCGGAAAAATCAGACTTTGATGCGTTTGGTTTTGAAGCTTCGAAGCGAGGAAACCGTTTCAACCATGATGATCAATAGATGAGGAAAAGAAAACCGCACGAGAATGTAGAGTGCGGTTGAGATGAAGTTAGGATCTTAGTCCGAGCTCCGATACCATGAAAAGATGAACAGAGAAGAATTTGCTAGAATTAATTCTCATTGATGTCCGAATGAAAAATATATACAGCTAGCTAACTTTGCCTACACGCTTATTCCTTCCTATAAATCAGCTATATCTATGAATGTTAACTAGAATTAAGGAATACATAAGGAAAACAAATATTTATTAATAATACAGAGAATACGAAAAATTTGACTTTCCTTCCAACACTTACGTTTTCGATAATGATTTTTCTTTTGCTCTCAAGGTGACCACTACGAACAATAATTGTTTGGAGAGGCTGTGTAGCTTTGATCCTACCAAGGACATCTGAAAGTAGAATACAAATAAGTTTTTTTCTCATGAAACAACTGGTTAAAGGCAATGCAAAGGCATTAAATTGTCACATCACAATGTTTGTTCATTCGGACGGCGTACCTATTAGAGTGCGAGATTCTCTACCTTTGGTTAAGAGGTTAGCAAAATCAATGAGCAAGAAGGGGTATCTTGACATAGGAAGGCTGTTGGGCTGAAATGGATTGATTCAAACATCTTGTTTTAGATCAATTATCGTAGAATTTTTAACCACCACGTTGATGGACTTGCTTTCATATGTGTAAAAATTATTGATTTCATAAAAGCAACCTTTTTGGATCAGGTGAGAGAAATAAGTAATGCCCTTTGCTCTAGCTGAAGCTTGAATTGCACCCCGTACAAAAAGAAAAATAAAAAAAGTTATGCATTTAAATTAAAAAAGAGATTAAACAAATTGATCAAAACGTGAAACTTTTGCATTTTTTAAGAATATGTAACTGGAAAGGCATTGAAGTGTTAAGGAAACAGGAAATAGGTGGTTGTTGTAATTAGGTTTTTCAATAATGATAATCGAGAAAAGAAAGAACGTATTGATTTGAGGTATAATCGCAACAGATGCAGACACTCCTATTTATTTTGATCAATAAAGCAGAGAGATTTGCTTATTTGTCTATGTCCAATCGGTCAACCATAAACATAGATATAATCCAAAATAGGATATATGTTGAGAGAAGGTGCCATCCAAAGCGTTTAAAAGTTTTTTTATGCTTTAACAAAGTGGTTTCATTACATGGAAGCATAAAATGCATGCATGTGTTTCTAAAAGAATAGGTAGTGGTAATGGCATGTCTTGTTTTTTAATTATGGAAAAAGTCAAAAATCATTTTGAAACCTAAGCTGCTCTCCTACGGCAGCATGGTTGTTGAACATTGAAGATGTACATAGATTATTGCATACAAATAAAAGTGAGCATATCGATGGGAAACTAAGGTGCTACTGTTTATGCATCTTGTTTAAATCATCTAAATACAGCATGCAACAAAATTTATTCCTTCTGTGAGGAAGCTCGAAAATAGCAGGTGAGGGGTGTTTTGAACCTGGCTTATTCTGAACTAATTATGGAGTTAATGTTCATGTTGTGTTTGTGTGCAAACGGTTGCAGCTATATATATATATATATATATATATTGGCTCTCTAATATTAAGTTATATATATGATATGAAAATTAGGAAATGGAAATAACACAGCAACAACTTTTGATTTATGAACATCAGAAAAATGAGTGTGAGGATAAAAAATGGTAACAAAACAGATCGAACAGTGGGGCAAGAAAAGTGTTGTACCAAGAAAAAGTTAAAAAAGTAGATGACATGGATCGAAAATGGATAGTATTTATTTACAGTTGATCTGTTAATATGAAACGGAATGTATACTGTTTGTCTCAGCAACTATATCTACAATTTGATATGCATTAATAAAAGATCGATGGGATGTGTAGCTATAAGTACCTCAGCATCAATGAAAACACAATTGAATGAAGTTAGTTGTCCGTTATTTGTGGTGATCCAAACATGTATAAGAGAAACATAGCCATACATTTTGATAGCAGATATTTTTTTCGCCATTGAATAATCTAAGGCCTGAAAAACAGAAAGAGAAGGAAGAATGTTAGAAACGATACTCACCAACTAAAAGAGCAAACAAAGGAATGAAGTTGATAAATGTAAATAATTGCTTTTAAAAAACATGTGCGATGCAAAATTAAAAATACATTAATACATTCTAGCTTGGAAACAAACTATAAATAAGCAGTAAGTATAATTTAATCTGAAACAGTAACGTATACCTTTAAGCAAAGAACTTAAAACATCTTTGTAGATAATATTCTTTGCATACTCATCCTCAGTTTCAGTATCACTATATGTGATAATTTTGAGGCCAGCCTTTAATGTGACTCTTGAAAGGGCAACATAAAGTTGCCTATGTGCAAACGACTGGTCTAGCAAATAAATACCAACTATCTTAAGAGATTGGCCTTGGCTTTTGTTAATTGTCATCGCATAGCATAATCGGATTGGGAACTGGCATCGTTTGAAAGTGAAATGCCATTTGTTCTCAGAAACCAAAAATACAATTATAGGGATAAAGACGCGAGCACCTATATGACTACCTATTATAATTCTAGCTTCAATAACTTTATTCGCAAGTTGGGTGATAACCAACCTTGTTCCATTACATAGACAGATAGATTGATCAATGTTTCTTAGCAACATAATAGGCACTCCTAGTTTTAGTGCCAAGATGTGCGAAGGCACACCATTGAATTCAAATTGATTTATAAACTCTGTTGGATAAAGCAAATCAAGATTGGCAGAATCTGTTGAAGAGCTACTACATATAGAATCAGTGCTCATGTATATGCACTTTTGACTAGGTTGGCGTTCGAGAATAAAATCATTGATTTCTGTTATAACATAATTTTTAGTGTAACAATGGCTCTCTCTCTAAAATAACTATCTTCCATTACAGAGGCATGAATTTGAGGATACACAGCTAGAACAATGCTCTCAATTGGATTGTCATGAACTTTGATAAGAAAATTCTATGGAATCTTAACAATCATAACAGCATTATCGCCAACATAAGGAATATCTGAGACACGACCTTCACCAATTTTAAGAATCCAATCAGCAAATTCTTTTAATTCAACTCTTTCATCATGGTTTAGCCCTACATTCGAAAGCCTCATGTTCTGTTTAAGAGTTAAAACTGTGAAGCTAGGCCAAAGAAATGAACTGCTAATGGATGCACGAATAATATCTTCTCTTGTTCCACCAGGAATAACATGCAATATTTGTCGAAAGTCACCCCCCAAAAGTATTATTTTTCCACCAAATAAACAATCTCGTCTATCAATGTTTGCATTACTCAGTACATCACGTAGTGTTCTATCAAGCGCCTCAAAACAACTTGGATTATTCATAGGAGCCTCATCCCAAACAATCAAAGACGTTTTTTCAAGAAGTTTTGAGACATGTGTGTTTTTTTAATCATGCAAGTCGATGAATCGTTTAGGTTGAGAGGAATTTTAAACTTAGAATGAGCTGTTCTAACCCCAGGAAGAAGTAGCGATGCTATACCAGATGATGCAACAACAAGGACAATGAGACCCTCAGATCAAAGTTTGTTAATAATGGTATGCCAAAGAAATGTTTTTCCAGTTCCACCGTGGCCATGAACAAAGTAAAGGCCTGGCTGTTTTCCAATCACAGCATTGATGATACAGTCATAAACATGTTTTTGCTCTATATTCAACTGACTAATCGTTGATGAATGGTTGGCCCTAAGTCCATTGACACCATAATTAAGCTCCTCTCTTAAGAGTTTGTTTCTAATTTCAGACATCGTGCACTCGTTAGGCATAGGAAGTTTGTGATCAGCAAGAGATAAAGCTGATGCATTGAATAGAAGCTCAAGTTCTTAAAGAATATAGTTTTGTAGCTCTGAGTCATCAACATGAAGATCGGGCATTGCAAAAGAGTTCTTAAGATTCGATAATATGTCGTCATATAAGAAAGACCAATATGCATCAAAGGTCCACAAAAAAGTATCATACTGACAAATAAACGCCTGAGTTGTGGAGAAGAAGCTGTCAGAGTTGCTTCTTCGAAAGCCCCATTCCATTCTCGATCATCACCCAACAAACCGAAGGCTTGACAGGTTGCTTGAAAGGTTGGGTAAACAACACCATGTAGGGTTTTCATGTCGTCAAAACTTATGGAGCCTTTGACATGATTTAACAAAATTCGCAGAAAATAAAGTTCAACTGCAGCAGGGTGAACATAAGCAATACGATCGAAGCTAAAACCCTTAATTCTTGGAAGCCATTCTTTGTTTCCAGCATCCCATACATATTCAGAACGAAATTGAGCATAGTAAAGGTTACGAGTACTATGATAAGTCTGATTGCATCGAAACCATTCGGTAAGCATCGTTCGATCAATACC